TTTGCGTATTACTTTTTTAATGTAGCTTTTTATGCTATTACTATTACATCCGTACATGTATTCTATCAGTCTAGGGCTAAGTGAATCGCTTGACGATGAACGTTACTTGTTCTTACTTCATCTGATATTTGTATTTGTTGTTCATTTTCTTTTTTTCTCTCAAGAGGAAGAAGTGAATTGAATAAATGTTGTTTTTTATGATTATTTTCTGTATTTGAAATTGGTGATGAGCGCAGAGATCCTCCAATTAGTAGAGCATTAGGATCTCTTGGTGGTAATGTTTTTCTCGGGATAATTGGGGGGGGTTGTCGTGGAGACGGTGATGTTGGTGGATCATCTCTTCGATGTCCTAATTTTCGTTTTTGTCCTGGTGTCAGTTGCGGTAACCATTCCTCAAAAATTTCAGCAAATTGAGTTAAATCTAAGGGTGTTGGTTGTCTTGCTAGACCTGTTGGTGACATTCTAGCTACTGGTAAACTATCATCGATTTCCATTATGGTATCCATTTGTTCAGTGGGTCGTTTTTTATTTGCTGCACTCATATAAATTTTCCATTTTTCAGATTCTAACTTGAAATATTCTGTTTGATAATATATGTTACTCAAATGGAAAATATCTTCTTTTTTATCGTCTAATTCTATTGATATTGCAATTTTTCGAAAAAATTCTTGCTTATGTCTCAAAAGATGTGGATAATATGAAATGAGTGACTTACTTGGTAAGTAATGTAATTTTTCTTTTGATACGCGCCGGTTATAATATTCTGTTGTTTTATAATTATTTTGTTCTTGTGTATTATGTGTATTTGGTTGTTTTATTTTATTATTAGTATAATAGTAATTATTATTATTAGTTTTATTATTTTGACGATTATTATTGTTATTATTATTATCAATAGTAGTAGTAGTAGTATGAGGATGATCATGATCAATATTAATATTATTATGATGATATTGATTATTTTTAGCATTGGTAGTAATAATATAATGATGATGATAATGATGGTGATTATTATTATTATTACTATTATTAT